CCCTTTTTTTTTTTTTTTAATTGCACAAGAGAGGAAACTCCACAGGGTAGGAACTGTATTTGCCATCTTGCACATGCTGGGCATGTTATTTACTATTTAAAAATAATAAATTTGTCACTGACCTCAACAGCTACAGGCTAATCTGCCATCTAATTATAGGTCTGCTCATGGAGATTATATTCTTTCTCCAAATCAACTTGAATAAAAGTCTTCTTTCAAAGCATTTTCTGACATAATACTTTAATAAGAGGTTTTAGGAGCATGCCTTTTTTGCACTCAGCTTCAACCTACACTTACTGTCGGAACTGCAAATATGAAAGCAAAAAATCCCTTTTACTGCTTTAGAAAATAATTGTACAACTCTTCAATTACCTCACAACTTGTCTCTGTGAGACAATACACACAATAATACAGCACAAAAGTCCCTGAGACACTCATTAACACTAAGTAGAGTTGAGAAATCCCACCTCTCAAATACATCGCTAAAAACAGTTAAAAATTCCACTGCCAACCAGTTCAAACCATCGGCAAGTCTGAAAACAAGGAGAGATCTACTAAATAAGACAACCATGGGGAAAAAGTATAATTCCATTTTAAACCACAATCTCCTACTTGCTAGTTTATGAACTAGATGAGATTACTCCCTGCTATTGGGCAGCAATATGAAATCTGCATCCTACCCCAATATTTTAATTTTTTTGATTTGAAGTCCAGCAGAATTTATTGCTCTGAAGAACTAGTCATACGCATGTGCAAAGTCAGGTCAGCTCTAAAAGCAGCCTCTATTTAAGATGCTAGCTGCAGTGTGAATAAAGCTCTCTTCACAAGATACAATGCAAATCTAAAACTAACTGGGGCAACGGATATAAAATACGCCTACTCTTCACAGTCATGTCTTCAGCTCAAAAATCTGAAGTCACAGGTATGTGAATAGATCAAACATAACCAAGAGTTGATAACATGGCAAAAATAACCAATCTGTACGTATTTTCAAATTTTACTCTCCTTTTTTCTGTCTGAAAAATCTCATTAACACTGAAGAGGCAAAGTCTGCCAAGCTTTGAGGTTCACAGTACTTTAAAAAAAGTCCAAAATAAATGCACTTTTAATATGACTGACTCAGTTAAAAATCATGAACAAGAAACCATGAATTCAATAAAATCTTAACTTCCCCACACTTCATTCAAAATTTCTTTTTAGCTCTATCTCCCATGCACAATTTTAACGTTACCTACAGCATAAACTGAATAACATCCATTCTACATTTCAACACTGTACATTAGCATGAAAAACAAAAGTTCTGTTTCTGTACCAATTTACAAGGCCTGAACAGAAGCAAATTATTAAAAGGAGAAATATTCCACTAACAATAGGATGCTCTCCACACTATACCTTGACTTCTGGCAAATGCTGCCAAACTGTCATGGAAGATTAAGTGCCGAGAAAAATCTAAGCTATTTGACATAAATCGCTATCTTTCTTACAATATTTATCTAATATTCAAATGTTTAAATAAGAACATTTATTTTCACATGAAAAATGAAAAACTTGCAAATGTTCCTCTCAGCATAGTTTATGTGGTTTTTTTTTCCTTGGAGATCTATCTGCCTACTGTTAGTAAAGGTCAGAACTCAAGCAGGAAGCAGAATAGGTCTTGCACTGAAAAGGAAATTGGTTCCAAATACCCATTTGATATCAACTGCAAAAAATTGTATAGAAATCTAGTTCGCTTTGTCGTGTCCACGCACTTAACACATGCATTTATGTTATTATCATTAACAAGGAAGATGGATATGGACTTTATCGATACTTACAAACATAGCAAGTATTTTATAAGTATAGATATACATACATATGCATACACGCTTATATACATGTGAATATATGTTTAACCTTTATAAAATAACATTTATAAAATAACATATTTACATATTTGACCTTTAAGGGGAATTTAGTGCACTGTATTCCACGTAAGGCACCACAGCCTAAAGTCACAAAAACTCCAGCTTAGGTGAAACAGGAAAGCTTAGATTAGAAAAGATAGGTCCTTAAGTAAGGTTTCAAGCAGAATATATTATGTACTACTTGTGACCCATACCAGCTACAAGCTAAAGTTCGGGAGGTTATTTTTAACAGTGTTTTAAATAGCTTGTGCTTAGCGCATTTAACAGATTAGTAATATCCATTGTTCTGTATCAGATTAGAAAAAGAAAGTGGCAAATATAAAACCCTTGGTTTCATTCAGAAACAGGCCAGTGATAGAACTACAGAATCAACATTGAAATAAACGACTATCACTAAAGTCTTAAAGAAAATACAGCTTAACTCCTAAATGAATCAAACTATTATAATGATTTTTTGGCCGGGGGGAAAAAAAATTATTCAAAATAGATTTCTTTTGGTTTTATTTTCATGAGTTTCTTTCCAGGCTGATGTGTAAAATATCTAACGCTGTGAACAAATGAAACTAGTACTTCTGTGACAGAGACATTCTCTCTTTTTACATGCTTCAGAAGTGTTCAGATATAATTGCAACCAAAACAGTAGATGTCTAACAGCTTTTGATATCTAACTGGTTTAGATGCAAGTGAAACCCCATGTATGGGGGGAACCTACACAGGGTTCAAATCACTAACACTGGAAATATTTTCCTATTCTTCCAATAAAAACTTTTGTAAAGGAGAGGGGACTCTGGGAAAAATTGCACTATGCCTCACGTTCTACCAACCATCAAACTGACTCAGTCTGAACTACAATTTGGATCCCTCCGTCAAAGAAAAAGCCTGCTGCTCCTAAAACATTCACCTATAGAAAAATCTTCAGCATCCCTATGAAGAGCTTTTTTTCCATACACCTTCCCTGCATCTCATATTGAGATCACGATCACACAAACCAACTATCACAAGAGCCTAAGGAAAGCATCGCTGAACAAAAAACTAACAAGAAATACCCCACCTAGGTAACTGGAGACAGGAAACAGTACTCCTGGCTAATGCTGTTATGTAAATACGGAGAATTCACATTAAGTGAAAAAGTTACCAAGTCAGACTTGAAAGAATTGTTTTCTGAAGGCCAAAAATAAGCTCCCTTCACTAGGTCCTTGACATGTTCTCTTACAGACCTTTTATGAGCACTGTAGAAAACTGTAAACACATTTATGGTTCCTATCAACCACTACTTTTACTTTGCGAAGTGTGATTGCATTCCATATACATATATAAATACTTATGTTTACTTTTTAATTATCAGTGTTGATAGCTATGTTCTAAGAGACTAACCCAGATTTTATTCCCATATATTAATATACAGCCTTATTTGTCCAACTTCACCCAACTGAAAAGTACAATTTAGTAGTAAAGTTACACAAGTAAACACACACATTTCTTATTTCATGTAAACTATACCGAATTCTCCACCATACCATAAAATATTATCGAAGTCTTGCTAGAATGACAGCTCTGAAGAATACCTTGTATCCACAACGTAATAAGCAACCAGCAATGCAGCAATTTTTCCATTAAGTTCCATCTATGCAATATAGTTTTTGAAAGCTATCTTAACTGAAGATTCAATGTAGATGTATAGTATGCAGCTAGCATAAAACAAATTATGCCTTAAAACTAATTTTTTCAGATGAGCTGCTATATAAAAGCTGAAATAAGGAATTCCTTCTATACATACTTCTAATAAAACAAAATTAAATGTTTCTAATACTGACAAATACAATTTAATGAAACAATCCTAAGATCACTTTATAAATGCATGGTATATTTAATAATTATTCACAAAAAAGTATTCCTTAAAAACTCAAATCCCTTTCCCAATTCCAATATTTGAGAAGGGAAACATTTTTACAAATCCTATCTTAAGATCCTGTCTTAAGATCTCACTTAATAACTTACTTATCAAAACGTTTATTGGCAAAATTTTACAGGCACCACAGGAAATTTCCCAGGGATTTGGAGTTACCTGAATACAGCATTAAATTAAGCAGACTAGTAGCTTCATTCTAATAATGGCTTCCCAAATATTAGAAAGATGCATATCTAAGCAACACCAAAATTTAAGAAATATAATTACATGCAAGGTTTAAGGATCTTTTGAAAGAATACCATCATTCTACCCTCCCATGCACTTGTTTGCCTTTTACAAATGATAAAATAATCTTTAAAAACAAATCTTTACCTAGGGTTTCCTCTTAGTGCAGCATGGTGAAGAGCATTAAACCCATTGTTGTTGGTGATAGTAACATCTGCTCCAGCTTCTAACAATACAGCAAGGATGTCATCACGCTTTTTGCTTATTGCGTCATGAAGTGGAGTGTCACCTTCAGAATCCTAAAACCAGAAACAGCTTACATCAATTTTTGCATGCATCCACATTAAAGAAAAAAGATGCTTAAATATCCCTAGGAAAACTACACAAACCAGCTCTTCAGACCTTCAAGTGTTGCTACACCGCAGAGTTCAGAGCAAGCTGCTTCTGATCTTGCTCTGGTTTTACAAATGCTTCAGTGGGTAATCCTACCCAGGGCTCCAGTATTCCACGATTACACTACTACCAGAACTCAAACCCAGAGCTTAAGCATGCCTTGCATCTGATAGTAGTGAAGACACTGGTGTAGATATCAACTTCTCTATGCCTCATATCCAGATGGAGTTGATGCCCAAGTTACCATTTATGAGTAACAGAAGGACAGCAACAAAAACCGACACAACAGAAAGGAGACTAGTCAGGCAGAAGGCGGCAGGGAACTTTGAGTAATGAACGCTAAGATTGAGCCAGCAATTAACCATGTAAAAGACAATACCAAAAAGACAGTGTGAAATAAAAGCATAAGCAAATCAAAATAAAATGCAGTCCAAGTAATAAACTTAGCCACATCTGTTGTTTTAACTGAAGCAGATCATTTTCCATGAAGCAAAGGCCAATGTCATAAGCAATATTAAGCTTTTAAACTTGTTATGGCTAATACCAGATTACATTACACAAGGTACATGAAAATATTTCAGTGCATAATTGAAGAGGCAAATAATTTATATTTTTAGCTTGATGTTTTATTTTTCAAATATCCCAAATAAGGGAAAAATACTTTTTATTCCTAGAAGCATTTTGTACATTACTTATTCAAGGACCCAAATGGTTGGACTGAAAAGGAATGCCCTAGACTAACAGTGAGAAAACACATCCATTTAAGCTTATTTGCTGCTATATAGGCAAACTCTTTAGATTTATGCTTCCAGTAAAATTCTAACACCATATAAGTCAGGAAGTCTTTTGTCACTGACACTGACTCAACTGCAAACTGACTAACACAGGAACTGAACATTTTAACAGTACACTAATATGAAAACAAACCTTTACAATCTTTACAGTGAGAATCAAAAACTGCCAAACAAAAAGTGCCAGAAAATGGAAACGCTTGAACCAGTGTAAACCAGTTTGCCAAAACTAAATTATGTAGCTTTTATTTGGTTTAATTGATCATATTTCCTGAATTTACTGTTTACAGACTAACATATGTTACTGTTTACACAGTGAATTGGCTTGAGTAGTAGAGTGCTGGCCAGTTGAATTCCAGTCATGCCTCATTCTGACTCCCCTGTGCTCTCATCCACCGAATCAATTGCCTACTCACATTTGCACATCGGAATTCCTCGGCACACATGCAGAATCTGCAAGTTCATTATTTTCAATGACAATTATATTTTCCAGATGGAGTCTCATAGCGCCATTCTACTGAATTTTTCATTCCAAACAGACTTCTGTAAAGTCAGACACATCCACTTTGGCTACCCATATATCACACATCATTATATGATATACAGTCACCCTTTATTGGGCTCAACGCATCAGACTCCTTATTATATCTACTGTTCAACAAATACTAAATAGGGTCTGGATGGATGTTAGCTGGCTAACAGCTCAACCTCAGCAAGAGCAAGACAGTATCTAAAAAGCCAGGTGGAAGCAGATAAATAACCAATCACTATATTCACTAATTTCAAGAAAGTTTGCTCATTGTTTGTTATGTGGATACACAGCTTCAAAAAAATCACTGATTATTGACATGGCAGAACAAGGAGGTAAATGTGTTATTACAGCGTATCTTGTTTTGCCCAGGACGTTACAGCTTTTTCTTTCTGTTGCAAACCTCTTCAAACTTACCCATTCTGATTTGTTTTACTAATGCACTGCATGCGGCTGCAGAATTCAGCTCATGCAGAATGTGGATGCCTGCTTATTTGACAGCAGGTTTCTACTCTACCGTCTCAACAGGAGGTTGCACTCATATGTCACAGCTTCCGCCACATTCATTATAGATAAAACTCCCTGTGAAATTATGGTACTTGAGGCCCTATGCATGAGGGCTTTTTAGATAAAAGGCTGAACATTTAAAAGAGAATCTGGCTAAATAATTCTATCAATGATAGGTCAATGCTGAAAAAAGGTTTCTCTTAACAAAACAATTCCACAGTACAATCAGCCAAAAAATGCAAAGCTGTAGCTTACAGAAGGAACAAACAGCTGTGGATTCGATAGAGGAGGAATTAATCTGGAGAGAAAGTGAACAATTACAGCTAACTACAGTCTGTGAAAATACCAATTAACATTAACTGACTAGAATAAATCAGGTGCCTATCTAGTTGTCAAGAAAACAAATAGATTCAATAGCATTTTTATTACAGCTGATCACATGTTGGGGTAGAAGATAACTTCACAAGGTCTGTTCCTTTCAATCCCATTTTCCATAATTCTTCTATCACCTACACACAGCAAATCATAAAATTCATAGCTAAAAAGTGAATTTATATTAATATTTACTTTACCTGGAGGCTAGGATGGCAGCCAAAGTCCAGTAAAGTCTTCACAACTTGCAGATGACCTTTGTTGACAGCAATATGAAGTGGAGTCTGCCTGCGTTTGTTGCGAGCATTCAAATCTGCACTGCCTCGGTGCAAAACCTCTATCACAGCACCCTCATCACCGAAGGCTGCATGATGGACGGCCCTGTCTCCATCTTTGTCCTAAAGTAGAAACACTGATTTGACCCAGTATATTCCACATTTCCTTTGCATTTAAGCAAGAAGATTAATTTAAACTGAACCATTATGCACGTTTGATTTCTCTCTAAAGAGAAAGAAAAATTAGACAACCATGATACCATTCAAATACCTAATTAATTGCTCAAACCACAGCAATAGAGGATGAAGAGTCTGTTCGTATATAAACATACATATTCTATGACATATGATATTCTATACCATATAGAACTATTGCCCTGAATCTTTGTGTGATGTGTTCACCAGAAATTCGTATAGATTCATTTGGGTTTCTACTACAAAACAACCACTGTCAAAAAAAAAAAACCAAACAACACACCCCACACCACCAAAAAACCCAAACAAAACCCCCCAAAAACCCTCACAAACAAAAGCCAGCCCCCAAAACCCAGAAAACATTACACTCAGTAACCCAGGGTAACCCTCCCTGTAACCCAGGAAGGGTTACAGATTCCAAATCATGGTATAAGACAAGAGAATTGCCTTGTTCATACAATTAAGCTAGTATTTATTAGGGTTTACTACATGTGTCTTAGTTTTCAGTTAATAAACCTTTTCCAAAGGAAATTTGGGAGTGATAGTGAAATTGATTAGAAGTTCTGATTCTACGATGATTCACAGTATTAAAGCCCTGATTAAATTCAGTTTGTTTCAGTTTCATCCAAACTGAGAATTAAGGTATGAAAGTCATAAATTTGTCAGTTTGAGTTATTTTAACATCCGTAAGAGTGGGCTGTACTACATGAAACATTTTAAAATATTAATCAAGTGATTTTAACATTAATGACAGTATACAAAAGCTAAAAGTAAAATGGAAAGTACATAAGATGTCTCAATGAAATAATAACTTGCATAAGCTAGTTTCTAATTAAATTTTTGTGCACAGTGAAATATTACTATGTATTTGTAGGATTTAACTTTGACAATAGAGAAATACTGAAAATTGTAATGAGGAGATAAAATCATGAGTGATCAAGGGTGCACTGATGTCTCTCCTGGGTAAGCTTAGTTTCTCTTATCAATTTGCTTCCCTTTCAGCAATGTTTTTTGAAAGTTATTTTTATTATGTGTAACACATTTCTAATATATTTTACATCAATGCAAAAATTAATAGTTCTTAGAATAACTCGTATTTGCACAATTACAAGACAACAATGAGACTATTTACAACATTTAAAAAAATAATGGAAGGAGACTTATCTGCTAATTATCAAATATATCTTTTTGGAAATATGAATACAATTTTCAAGACGGTCAGGGCACTAAACAGCAGCTTCAACAGCTTTTGAAAACAAGGTATTTTTATGTCTTCCAAATCAACTCATCCTACAAAATTGTCTTCTAAGACAGCAGGATTCCTTCTCAGGCTCACCTAACACAAACAGTCAAAAGAAGCCAAAGTTTGCGCATTTGGAAGGGAAAAGGACCAGAAAGGGGAACTTCTCTGTATTTCTTATCTGGTTATAAAGATCATTATGAGGTGAAACTTACCAAGAGTGTGACAGTAGTGTTAAATTGCTACAACATTTATATTTACAGAGCACTTCGTTTCACAGTTATGTAGTAATTTGTCTTTTCATATTTGCAGTCTGCAAAGTACACTGAGATACTTACTGATGAAACCCCATATAATTTATTAAATATTTTACAGTTTTAACATATTCCAATTTTGAGACACAAACCCCTGATTTTATAAAATCTTAATGTACAGAATTCCTACTTTAATGAGTAGAGGTCCAAGAAAGCACGTGCCTTTTTTTTAGCTCAGCATCAAAACAAATCATCTCAGGAGCTAAATCCCACTTTGTAGTTTCTACACAACAGTATATTAATATACCTAGAAAAAGCTAGTACTAATTAAGCATCTGTCCTAAGACTTATATTTAGATATAAATCTAAATATTAAAAGCACTATATTTCTATACATGCCAACAATATTGTCAGTACTGTCAATATAATAACTGATACCCATTAATTTCTGCAGACTAGGAGGCCACATATTTTTACCACATAGTATCTAGATCAGGCTTTTTGAGCTCTGTCAGTAACAAATTGTTTTCTGACGAAACAGTACTCTACATTAAGCTGACAGAGACATAAGCACAGGAGACAACAGTATGAGGGCATCCCCAGAAAATGTCATCATGAATGTTTATACTCTGCAGCAGTGACTGTAAGTGTAAATATATCGCTATAGAGCAGGCGAAGTAAGGATTTTTATCCATTGCTTTCATGCCACAGACCACAACAGTGAAATAAATGGACTAAATTTTTGCTCTCTGTGTAATGGGATGACTGCTGCATCTTCGCATCACTAATTTATAGACAGCTGACATCTTTTAAAGCCTGAAACATATAATCATTAATCTAATAATATTATATATATGATTATTATAATAATTACTGCAATTATATAATTAACTAGGAATATCATCTTCACTTAAACAACTTAGTAACATGAAAAGGCTTGAAAATTCAAACAAAAATCCCTGAAAATATTTTTTAATGCTAGTGTTACAATACTTCTGAAGCCTGAGCAAACATGAACTCTTAACAATTCTACTGCTAGCTGATTACCAGGTTTATTATCTTGAAGCTGTTTAAGCAGTGCTTCTATTTCCCTCTCTAATGCTTCTAACCCTTCCTTATACCAGAGAAGAAAGTATCAGTCCACCACTTGATTAACACAGTAGCTTTGATCCCATAGTACAGATGAAAAGCAGCTTAGTCTAGCTTGTAACAGTATATGCTATGTACTGCAGTGAAAGCACTGCTTCTAAAATGAAGCTACTTCACAGAAATCAGACCACAGCAAGTATGTACTGCATCAAATCTAAGCCATCTTTACCATTTAGCAGAAAACCTTTATAAAGTAATGGTGTATCTGTGAATATAAAAATAATTTTAGTTCCAAGGATTACATCATCGCTTCATTAATGTATTAACATATAACTTCTGTATATCAAATACAATATAGAGCTAAATGCCCAAGCACATAAAGTTATTTTTCTGTTATGCAAACAATGAGTGGGCACACTATTAACTTCTAAGCATCCTATTAGGCTTTCATCTATATTCTTAGTAAGAGAAACCTGACAGATCCTTCTTGTGCTTCACAAAATGAGCAAAGGCTGTAATACCAGTGCAATCTTTGTATGTAAATGAGGCAAAATCAATTCAAAATGCAAATACACAGTATGTTGACAGATAGTTTTCTCACAAACAATAATTCTAAAAAACCTAAACAAAAAGAAATCCTTCTATTTTGGGTGAAGGTCAAAAAAAAACAACCACAAAACCCTGAAAAACTGGAAGCAGAGTTGGCAGTTCCTACCCAAAGTTATTACTACTTTCTGCTCAAACTTGCTTTAGTTAAGAATGGAAAACTTTCTCCTAACTGAATACTGTATATAAGAAGCATGGCAAGTATCTGAGGTTGGAGATGCAGCATCCGACAACATCTTTTTCTCTGAATGCCACAGGCAGTCTGCTAGACTATTGCATTCTACTGTTGAAATGAAATAAAGACGGGGCTTCATCCACTACAATCACATACTAGCTTGCATAGCTCTATTATATTAGCATTCTATTTCACTTCATTAGAGGTGATAAAGAACTGGATATTGACCTTTTGTAATACTGTTAGTAGGAGGCTAATTTGGGAACATAATCACAGTAACAAAAGTTTTTTCACTCTGTCTGACATTTAAAAAGAAGGCAACTCTAACAGAATTGCTATTTCTGTATGTAGCAAAGTTTGAAACTTAAGGAGAGACAAAGTGTATTTTGAAATATTTAGGTTACCTCTGCTTCTACATCCACATTCTGTTTCAGAAGCAACTTCAAAATGTCGACATGGCCATTCTGACTAGCGGCTTGCATAGCTGTGTGTCCAGCACATTGTCCATTCACCTGGAAGCATATCAATACTTTGAGATAAGTTGCAAGATACACACACATACCCGTGAGCCACTTTAGTAGTATACATGCAAGTTTATTAGAAAACTTAAAGCAACGGCATGCATATGAAAGTATCAAATGTGCAATTTTTAGACAGCTGCCTTTTTGGCACACACACAGATAATCTCCTAGGTCTTTTCTATTTCATTTCTATAGCATTAGCTAGATTGAAGGAAAGAAGCAAGAAATGGATTTATTTTAAACATTAAGACCTTAACGATAGTTGGATTAAAAACTTTCATCTTCGGGCTATTATAAAGGCAAGATTTTGAGAACAGGTCTCAGAATGATACCAGTTCTCTGCTCTACAGTATATATAACTTCATTTTGTAATTTATGGCAACAAGAGGAGTCAGTCTGAACAAAATACCATTTTTTGTATAATCTTGAGCTACAAATCAATCCTCAGAACTGATGGAGTTTAGTCTCTTATCTGCAAGAATTACGAGTACTGTAGTGAGAAAAACATCTGATTGTGATTTTAAAACGTGTTACCTGAACCAAAGTCCTATAATTCTTAAGCATTTTCTTTTAGACTTTTCACTACTAAGCGATTAGACAAGTTGGTAAAAGTAATCTGACAGAGAGCAGATTAGATGATCTGCCTCGTGAGTTAAAAAAACAAAACCAAAACAAAACCCACAACAACAGCAAAAAATCCCCAAAATCTACCCTCCTTCCTTCTATCTCCTCGAAACAAAAGAAGCTGAAGACCCTTCACTAATTGTGAGTGTTTGGTTCTCTGCCCCGACTCTGGCAGACAGAGGCTGGAAAGTATTTTAATTCACGGCAGACAACAGAACACAGAATCTGTCCAGAGAAAAAGGGTGTAAAGCACTATTTTCACACACACCCCAACACATTTCATAGGACAACAAATGGGAGAAGAGACACTGGAACCAGCTGTACTACATCTATGCAGAGACACTAGTGACTGGCAAGGAGTATCTATGACAGCTTCACTTCCTTTAGTATTACAGATCCCCAGAACAGGTCCTCCTAAACTAGAACACTTACATCTACATCTGGTCTCTTTAGCAGGTCTTCCACTTTAGCAACATCTCCATTGGCAGCAGCTTTAACCAATTCTTCATTGAGGTCTCCAGATTCTTGGGTTTCAAATAATTTCTTCAATAGTTGGGACAATCTCTCTATAATTATTAAACAAAGGACAATTAAGATCACAATTCTAATCACTCAAGAACAGAAAAATAACAGCTAAATTTCTCATGTTTCTAAAGGCATGTACACAGTAATACACAAACCACCATAAAATGTCAGCTGTAAGTTATTATTCAGTTCTGAGTAAGCGTTACACCCTAATACCCTTTAAATAGTTGAGACTGTCACATCAGACACTTCAAAACAAAGTTGACTGAATCACAAATAGCTTGTCTACCACAAAATATAGAAAGGTGGGGAGGAGGTAAAAACATTAATTTACATATTGATCTAACAGGCTTCTTAGTCTTCTAGCTTAAGGTATATCCTGCCCGCTGTGATTTGAAACACTAAGTCGTATTACTCTTCTAGCTAGTTTTATGGCCACTGTGACTTTATCTTTATTGCAGAAAACCCATTGTATCTATGCCTCTCTAGGAAAAAGTCTAGAAAACTATGTAGAAAGGTTTCTTGGCATTAAAGCAAATATGTGAAGAGGAAAAAACAACTAGCTATGACCAAAAAGAGGAAAAACATTCTAGTTTAACTGATCTGTGAAATAGCCAATAGAACATAAAACACATCAGATAGTCTTTCTGCCTCGTTATTAAATGAACGAGAGCAGGTTCAACAGAACTCAAATGTGATTACATAGACACACACAAAAAAAGAAATCCCACTGTAAATTAGTCAAAGGATGTCTGAGAAATTTTAAGGAAAGAATATTATCCTGAATAACTGCTTGCAACAGATCCCTCGCTTATGCTTGCTATTCCACACCACCTATTAAACAAGGAACACGCTGCTTGCTACAGCCAGTGATACTCTCTTTATGCTTTAGTCCCTATTCCAATCTAATATCCCTTCCAATCATTTAAATTTTTAAGTCCTTAGAGCAGACCTCCAAAGACATATGTGCACTGTGGCCAAACAGAACCCCAAATTCGATTTGGAGGTTTTTTGCACCTTATCAAGGTAACAACTACCAATATCTTCATACAGACTGCAAGCTTTTTCTTGTATCTTTAAAGTATAACATCAATTAGCCAAACCCCAAGTCTGAGTATTATTAACCTTGTATACAAACAATTTTTTAACTAACACAAATACTTGCTATACATACATTACTGGTTATTCTTCAAACTTACCACCGGATGCATTACTTATAGCAGATCCTGCTGATGCCACCTTTGAGACAGCTGCTGGATTATATGTCCAAGATGTACCACAAACCTCTACCTTTAAGTCGCTGTCTGAATAGATCTGTTGGACCCGACCAACTTTACCTAAAGTCTGCATTAAAGAAAATGTCAAATGCAAATAATACTAAAACCAAAACATTTAGAAACCTGACTGTTATAATAAGTCATAAATTTTATGAAGTCAGTTGTTTAATAGTACAGTCACTAATACCTTAAGCTAAATTTCATCAGGCTAAGCAGATTACTACATCTGAGCAAGTATTACACCATGTTTGATGAAATACACTTTCTCTAACTTAGAAGAAAATCACTTTGACTCCCACAACCTCCAGGTATTATTACCAACCACAACTAGAAATATTATACAAGTTTTACGATTCTATGAATCCAAACATACAACTACTTACTGGAAGCATTGCTTCAGCCCACTCTCCATGACCTCTCTGAAGAAGCTTGATTCGCTCTAAGTCATAACATACTTGAACAAGGTCACCCACTTGAAACTGAGAAGTACCTCCTTCTGCACCTTGAGCAGCATCTCCACTTCGGACAACATTGGCTTTGGTGAGAACAGCTGGATTAAATGTCCACCTAGACAATTTAAAGTAGATTTTTAAACATGCGAAGTGAAATATATGCTTAAAAATTATCTGTTGGACAAGATTCTGCTTGTATGCCTACAAACTTTCTGCAATTGGGTACTATGGCATATTTGTTGTTAACCATTTTTTTCCCCATAAACTTGTTTGTGGCTCATTAGTCGAATATTTCCAGGGTAATCTTCAGAGATATACATTTGTAAAGCAATGAAGAAATGTTCTGCCTAAGGGGAATCAAGCCGACAACAATATAATAGTCCTGAAAGTAGCTATACAGTTTGTTTATTTTTCTAGGGAGAGAAGATGACAACTCTGGTTGAAAAGGGGAAGATCCAAGCTGTCCCAGAAAGGATTGAACTGTCAGGACACAACACGGGAAGAACACAGGATTTCACCCCCTCCCTCCCAAGGCATAAGCTGAAACATTCGGTTATAAAAATACTCTTCAATCAAATGGATGCCCTAGATACACCTCAGTTTTTAACCAAACGATCCTAATTCATACTATAAATTTTACTGGTTTAGAGGCATTTAGCTGTTTTTATGCCGAGTTATATTCTAATATATAATATGGTGATCTCTCCCTTATGTGCCATTTGGTCTGGTGTTGCGTTTCATTCAGCTATATGATCTAGTTGAGAAGCATCAGAAAATCTCTATCAAGGGCAAAGCCAAGGAGGAAACCACAAGACTGAGCCGCTCCTCTCACTGGCTTTGCAGCCATGACTGTCAGAAGAAACGCCACTTGCATCCCTTCAGCTTGTGTTAGCTCAGGAAACAGCTTTGGTTTGCATTACTTTGCAATATTAACAAACAATAACTTGAGAGAAAGCCTGAATGAATAATGCACTGTTAATCCTTTCTGGACAAACTGAACAGGTCAGTCTCCAGATATGACTGAAATAATATTCCATTCATCAGCTGCCTTTTAAAGATAAGCCCAATACTTGAGAGCAAGACAACACAAAACCATGTGGACATACCAGCTCAGATCCAGCTGTAGAGCTGGGTTTGAATCCTGTTAGCATGGATGCAGCTCAAACCTAAACTGCTTGCAGGGAGTGGTTTTGGCAACAGCTTCCCCAACACTTCCCATTCTCGGTCCATATTTACATAAACTAACATCCCTTTGAATAAGACAATGCTAGATATAGATCTTGCCAAGGTCACTCTATATTAGACAAGATCCCCAACATAAGAAGTTTGTCACCTGTCCTCTTAACCCATTTTCCTGAAAACCTGCAATGCATTGCTATTACCATTTCCCTTGAAATCATGGGTTACTTTGTAATTAAACAAGAAATTACTGCTTAAAACACTACATTTTGGAAATAACGTAGTCCAGAACATCATTCATCATTTTAGACTCAAATTTTCACAAAGTGAGAGAGGCAACAAACTTCCTTTTATTATTAAAGCATCTTTAAAGGTAAGTCCTCGTGATACATTGTAGAAGGAATATAAAAATTCTCAAGAAAATCTTAATAGACACAAAAGGAGAACAGAAAGTTTCTGGCGCCAAGTGATCACAAGTGCTGAAGGCAAAGGAAGTTTGTGAGAATCAATGATTAAGGCTATATAACAAACCTGTTGCCACTTGGATATTGTACTACAATGTCATGATCCTCATCAATGCCACAAACTGTTCCAGTTGTTGTTAAAGTTTCAAACATGCCATCAGTCCATCCTCCATGACCATGCTGCAAAGACTGTACAATTTCCAAATCAAGGTCAATGTTTACAAGGTCACCTATTTGCAGCCCACCAGGGTTTCTGTTACCATTTTGCTCACCTGAAATGGAGTAAGAAGAAGATGTTCACATGACCACACTAATGCTCCATGCAATTTAAAGAACAGAAGTTAATTTCCGAGACTCAATGTCTCTGCAACTGTAGTGGCCAACAGCTAAAAGGGAGTGAACAGGTAAAAAAGAACTCTGAACCTCTGGCTATGGAATTGTGTGTTTCTTGTTGAGTTTTCAAGGCAAATAGCGATGACACTGGCAAATGCTAAATACTTGTGACAGGCTCCACTATGGGCTCTAACTGGTATGGTAACAGCTATCATATGGTGTACGTATCTAGATACATAAAAGCTCTGATGATTTTGAAAGAGTCATACACAAAGTGCCATCTATCCACTCAGAGGCTGAAAGATAAGCAGAAAGCCCAAAGAAAGTGGGTTTTCAATTGGGTCAGTCCTTAACTGTGGAGATAGCACTGACAAGAGAATACCTCCAAAATGAAAAACTTTAACCTTGTAAGACGGGAGATAACTACAAACAAAAAAAACCCTGCAAATTTAAAATTAAAATGTTTTCCCTGGACATTGCCTGCTTTCAAAAGACGTGTCATAGCAAAAATTCATTAGCTGGAGGGAAATCGCATACATTCACACACATCAAGCTGTGTTAACTGATGAGAGAACACACTTGTGGACCTGCTCGCTGCCAGAACCAGAGGATGGTATCTGGTGCCACCCACAGAACAGTGAAGAGTATGACAACTGCAGAAGTCGCGTAGATTTGAGTTCAATGGCAACATCACTGGCAAAGGACAGGGTGAGCAGAATTCCTTTAGTAATACTGCTGTCTCTAAGGGACAGGGGGAGTGTTTGTCTTTCCTCTTCCAAGCAAGAGGTAATAATGAAGAAAGGGTCTTTGCACTGTAACAATAAGGAAGTACAAACAAATAGCCTGACACATAGAGACAAAAATATTATTTGGAGGGAAACTGATTGCAGAGCCTGAAATCCACACCAGATGTTGGCAGCACTAGTTGCAGCACTAAAAGTCTCCAGAGGAAAGAATGGCGAAGAAGAGAATCTGATACTACTGAAGAAGAAAACTGCTGAGAAAGGAAACACGCCCATGAATATATGCTCATGTTCAATGGACTTTGACTTCTATGACCATCCAATGACTTCTTTCTGTCCTGGTCTTAGTTTAAAGGACCTATAGATGCAACACAATTTTCAGTCTGCACCCTTCACCTTCACAGCAAAACACACATAACGTGGAAAACAGCCACTTCTGCAGAGGACAAAGTCAAAGATGAATTCTTCAGAAAAGCTACTGATACTCACTAGATAGAAAACTTAGACAGCAAACATCCCAGAGACAGCCCTGATGAGACAGGGAAGTCTAAGAAAGGAAGAGATATAAACCAGCAAAGAATTACAGAAGCATTAGTTGGAGGAAATGATCTGTAGAGGTCATCTGGTCTGATATCCCACACAAAGCTGAACTAACAACCAGCTGAGGTCAGCTATGGCTTTGCCTGTCTGAGTCCTGAAAGCCCCCAAGGACTAAGGTTCCACAACCTCTCCAAGTAACTTTTTCCAGTGCTGCAATATAGAGCTCCAGGTGTAACAGAAGATTTCTTCAATATCTGATCTGAACCTCTCCAGTCACTTAAGGTGGCCTTAAGGCCACTACCATTTGGTTTTATGCCATTTGCCACTACTGAAATTTTGGTGCCATCATTTTCAATCATCCTTCAAGTGGTTGTAGGTGGCTAGTAGATTACTTCTTAATCTCCTTCTTACCAGACTAAACAAGTCCAGCTCCTCTTCCTTGCAAATCATGTCCTCTCAGTCTCTTAACCATTTTAGCAGGCCACCATCAGACCTTCTACCGTTTCTCAAAACTGGGGGCAAGGGAAGAGGAGATGGATGGACAATGACACAAACAGGACATAGTATTCTAGACACAGCTTCATCACCATTGAGAAGAGGGGGATAATAACTTTTCCTATGTTGTTCCCCACCATCCTCCTAATACAGCCCACTATGAAATTTACCTTATTTGCATAACAGCACGCTGCTGTCTCATTCAGTTTGGTATTCAGTGCAACACCCAGGTCTTCCTCAGCAAGGCTCCTCACTCAGGCATTCACAATTCCCAGTCTGGGAATTTCTGGTACGTAGGCTTATTCCACCTGAGTGCAAAACTCCTCTTCTGATTGAACTCCACGAGGTCTCCATTCACCAAATTCTTCAATTCCTCAAGGCTCTTCTGAATAAAGCTCTACTTTCAACCACACCCCTCTGCCAACTTGCTATCACCTGCAAATTCTCTGGGATTGTATTCCATTTCATCATCAAGGTCACAGATGTGGTATTGAACAAAACCAGTCCCAGTATTTTGCCCCAACTACGTAGTACTCTGTATTAATTAGACCCCTGCTGGAATATTATTTGAACTCTACTTTGAATATCGCAAAGCTTCAAAAATAACTTTCTAGTTTTTAATGCAGGCATACATTTAAATTCACAGCATGAACGTATTTGTGAACTACATTCAGAAGACAAATAAAAGGGACAGATGTTCTAACAAACAGTAAGACTGAGAAGATAGAGGATAATGTGGTAAGAATGATGAACAGAGTTCGTTGTTGTCCTTTAAGAGCAACTTAATTTAGTGGAAGGGGAACAATTTAACAAAGAATAGTCTCCTACTATATTTAGTGATTAATATTCATGCATTCAAATACGTATCATCCTAAAAGTAAGCTACATGCAGAAAACATAGACCTATACTTTTAAAGCAAGAACAAAAATTAATAAAGGGCGTGCATAAGAACCTAAGTTTACCTGTGTAATAAAGAACCAGTAAGATCCTATTACTGCTTTCCTATCTGTATTCATGTCAGACTAAAATGACAAAATTAATTTTAAGTACAGAAGCAAGATACAAAGATCAGAGTGCCTTGGCTTTTTACTTTCAAACAATTTGTCTACCTGACAGTAAATATCTAAGTGACTTATTTTTTTTCTAAACAAAACAGACCTCTACTGTTTTCACCTTTTCACCAATGCTGTCAATAAAAGAATAGTAGTGCTTGCATGTCATACTTCAAGTACTTGTGCAAGGAATTAGATGAAGACTAGTAAATAGAGAATTCTCATCAGTTTAGAAAAGCCAGTATTATCAGCTAAGTTTTCTATGCATTGAAGTATAATAAGAAACTTGAGAAGAAAAGCAACATTTTCTGTAGTGTCCAGTTTTATGACCAGGTGTTTTGCCAAGGAAATAAACATTAATAACTAAGAAATTTGTGTCCAGTAATCTATAAAATTTATCCCAATTTGCCCATATTTCAAAAACGAAAACACGTGGCAGTTATTTTTTATAATACACTCTGCACATGTCCACAAGCCTAGCCAAGACAATAGAGGAATAAGTCCGTGCAATAGCTGATATGGAAAACCTCAGCTAAGATTTCACAACATATACTAGCATTAGTGTAAAATAACAGGTTAAGTTATATGTTCAAGTGACTCCTGTTTATGGCCATGTACATGTTACTTCATTGAGCATCTCTGAATATTTAAGACAGTCTTATAAAAATGCACAGCTATGTTTGGCTCCTTAGAAATACAGTGCACACAACTTGTGACTCAATTTATTGCTTAGTCAACACTTGACAGCTCCCTTGCCATCCACTTGGCACACTGATACCAAATACATTTAGAAAAGCATTACAATTTATTATTAATGCATAGAAATGTTACCATTTACATTTCACTAGTAAGGACAGTCCTTTTAGATGATATTTAAAGAGAAATTCACACTAATTATAATTAACACACATCAACATAAATTTACTTTATTTTCAACTCACCTAACACAGGACAATGGTCCCTGTAGAAGGAGCCTCCTTTTGCATCTTGGACACATTTCAGGTCAGACTACAGAGAGAGATTGAGACAACTTTAGTCCTCATTGACTGACTCTCCAGGTTAACGTAAGTCAGTGAAACTAGAACTCAAATACACTCAAGTAAGAAAGGCTGAAAATTATGTGTACAAAAAACATACCCCAGGAATTAGTTACTGATGCATATAATCTCAAATACTTTCCAATCAAGTATCAGCCTTGACATTCTCAAGATTTTAATAATCTTTACCAATATAAGAGGCTATAAAGGATAAGGCTATAAAGGATGAGAGATTTTTAACTCAAAGGAAGGTAATAAAATAACATAAAGCTCCTTTGCATTGTTCTATAACGTTATCTTTCCTTTTAAAAAACACAAGCAAAGAAAAAAAAAATCTGCAAACAATGCTTGAGGTCATAGCCTTTCCTGTACCAATCATTTAATGCCTGCCAGTGCTACCCCCCTCTTCCCAACCCTTTTTGACAGATACGTTGAACTTGGAGAAGAAAACCTGGCACCCAAATTCTACAAAATAAAGAATTTCCAATTAAGAACATACAGAACACAAGGATATTACTTTTTTTTTAAAAAACTCTATGCTGAGCTAAACATGATCTTTTTAAAGAGAAAAGTTCTAAAGCTCATCCTCCAGAAAGACTCTGTTTAATATTATCTGAGAAACAGAGGTTTCAAGTATGATAACCATCTCCTATTCATAAAGCCAGCAGAGTTCCTATAATTCTCCTTTCCTCTAGTTTTTTCCCGGTGTAAGCCTTAAAGCCAAATGGCTACCATCTGCCATTGCTCCTTATGGAACAATTCTCTCTAAAAAAAGGGCATTTTTTGCGCACGATGAGTTGGGAAGAAGATAGGAAACTGTTTGCAAAATGTGTCAGAATATTCTATGGGATGGGGGAGGAAATAGAGGACAAGTGGTGATTATGATATAATCAACCAGAACTAAACAAATACTTTAACAATTATTTTTCCCACACCCAAGATTTATTGACAGACTGTGCTCCTGCAAGGGGATTAAAATGAAAACTCTCAAGTCTTGCAAATCATCAAGGCACTGACAAACACAATACTACCCTCAGCGACTTGTAACTGCTAAGCAGCCAGAAACAATACAAAATTCAGCATATATCCTGATCTACGAAGAATGTACCGCCACTTTTTGAAAAAGTGATGAAAACAGCCAGATGAAAATAATGAGATTTAGCCACTCTTCAAATCCTTTGAGAAATCAGAGAAAGAGAGTTTGTTCAGCCCACCAGCAGCAGGCCTGCGGCAAGATGCTGCCGCCCCATGGGCAGGTGCTGGGTTTAACTCGGCCGAAGACAAAGGGGCTGCGGTGACCATCCCAGATGGCAAGCTGATTCATTGCCCCAGACCAACAGAGATTTAACGTGCCTGGGAGCACTTGGTCTCACCCACTGAATACAAACTCTTCGTGTCATGCAACAACCAGCTGTCTGCACAGGAGTCAAAAAGGGGTATACATGCAAGAGCTGTTTTCACATTCTTCAGAGCACTCAGAATAGAGCACGGCAGGGTCCTAAATGGTTCTCCTCCCAGCCAGGCAAAATCTGGGTGAAAGATTGCTTGCATTACAGCAAGCGTAACATACAGAGCACACTGATGGCTAAAAGCTAGCAGAAAAAATAAAATATTCAGTAAAAGGCTAATTACTACCTTGCAGCAGAAATTATTAGGAAGTAGGTTAAGATACCTTACATTTTACAGGGGAAAAAAAAACCCACCAGGAATCTATAAATCTGCTCTCTTTTCTTACCCTGCCTGTACCATGCCCTACGCATAGTTTATTTTTGGAGTATAATGATATACTTGGTTGTAAAACTAAGCGGTAGCTTGATGTTGAACCTCAGTTTCACATCTGACTTCCTTTCACTTGCGTGGTGAAACCAATGTTGGATCACTAAGGAGTAAAACAAGAGTCTGATCTAAGTATCACAGAAAAGCAAGGTCACATGTTTAATTTTTTTTTACATAAGCCTTCACCAAAAAATTGAGGACTCAAAATGCACAGAAAGACGAGGCACTGACAGAGATTAAGGCAGTATGAAACTGACTCGTACATACTATATATACGAGAGCTCCTTCAGCAACTTTGCAAACAGCACTACTAAGAAAAGTAATATCAACATGATAAAGGCCTGCAAATGTCTTAAAAAACATAACCAAACCCAGAAAAGATCCTGGAGTTTTAAGATAAGAAACCATACTTAGTTGTACTTCAGTACCACAAAAGCTGGGTAAGCAACTACAATTCTACTTTTAGCATTCAGCTACTGTATTTATCAGAAAAGGAAAACTTTCTTCTGCCCAAGTAGTTTAAGTAAAAAATCAGGGGTGGTGTTAAGCTCCTGGTCACCCTCCCCTGGGGACTACGTGGCAAGAGGCCCCCCTAGCGAGGATGGAGCACAAACACAGCCGAAGGCCGGCCGCGCCAGGCTGCCAGTGCATCGCTGCTGCCAGCTCTGCTGTACCGCACTTCGGAGAACCCCACCAGGATTTTTACAAGTTATGAGTCTCCCTGAGTCTTGTAAATGGATTGAAATAGCGGATCATTTGGAGATGAGACATACAAGTGCAAAAGGGACTGTACCAAAACACAAGGATTGTTAAAACACAAGTTTTAGACTCACGGTGACACCAGAAAAAGAAGTAACAACTACGAGGCTGGGTGTAAATACGTGGTGGAGACAAACATGCAAAGATGAAAACAAAACCTTAATACACTAACTTGATGGATAAATCATTCAATTGAATCCTTAATAGGATTCTTTCAAGAAACAGAAAAACAAGCTATAGATTTTGAGGAATTTGTGTATAGTTAGAGAACTAGGAAATCATTATAATGAAAACTCAAGGAACAGCACAAGCACAAAACATTGCACATCAGGACTTTCAGATCCGTAGTAACAGCTGATGCACACAAGCAGTGGGTAATAATGGTTTTTGCCTACAGTGGAGAACTTTGGTCTTCTAGCATCTACCTTCTGACTTGCTAAAAAACTCTTTGCATTCCAGCTGAATGTGACTGGATTACATAAAGATCATGATATGCTCAGCTAAGTGGGAAATGCAGAAAACATAACAGTTTACTTTGACTTACCATCCAATTATACCAGTAAAAAACAGCAGCAATTTCATCACTTCAGAGAAGGAAAAAAAATGTACATTACAGCAATATCAGCAGTGTTGGCAGATGGTGTAAAAGCACCATCATCCCTGACTTTGAAGAGGAAAACAATGCTGAAGGAGCAGCTGCCTACTGGAATAATTATTAAGTTATTCCAATCAATATGGAACGCCATCCATCAAAACCAGGGAGGGGAGTCTACAGACTTGATAAGAAAACCACGTGTGCTGCTAGGAAAAAGAAGAATGTTTGATCCAGATGCACTGAAATAGCATCTAACAGTAGCAGCAACTACCAGGAAAGAAATTAATACTGATCTTATATACATCTAGATATACCAGCAGAAATGGTGCCACAGCAGCAGGTGTTTGACATAGCAATGAACACACCCATTAAAGGTCATTTTAAGTCTTTAAACTCACAACAGCTTTTGGCAAGGAAATAAGCCCTTACAAGGCAAATGGAGAAAGCCCCATGCATGCTGCTTTGTCACCTGATTAAGACAACAAGGGACTGGATAAATCTGTAAGTTTTAGCTAAAGGTTTATAAGAAATGCTGTATTTCAAATTTAATGAACTCAAATAATTTTCAGTTTCAAGAAGTTGAGAAAAGTGAAAGCAATAAAAAGGAGAAAGTAGAAGATGGTAGAGAAAGTGAAATGACAAAGAGGTGTGAGGTATAAAAACAACAGCAACAGCTTCCCACAGAACAAAACAGACCGCAGGCAAATCCCGAGTGAACGGTTTATAACCTGTCTATTGATTATCGGCACTTGTAAAAACTTTCCATGTGTAACTTCAGGGTTTTTTTTAAGGAGGATAATTTTAAAGTCTTCCTTGTGGGTTAATACTGTAAATAATAAAATCGGAAAAGAATCAGCAAGTACATTTCTGCTTAACAGAAATATGTGACTAAGCAACTCAGTTTCGGAGAGATGAAAAACTTGGCTTGGTTGAGACTACAGGAGAAATGTAGAGAAATAAGACTACGTAAACAAGAAGCAAAACAAAGTCTGCTGACAAATGCAAATAAGTGCACAAGATACACATAAATATCTCCTTCCTCCCTGAATTCCGAAACAACTAACCACCTAACTTTGGCTACACTGAGTAATGCAATAAAAAACACTTGCTGCATGTATAAAGGTGGCCAAAAATCATGTTTCTGTGTTTTAAATCAGTTTTGATCAGCCTAGAAGCAACAAAAGGACACTAAACTAACAAAATAATGAAAATTCTTGTTGCTCCTTCCTAAACCCCTCATTTTGAATGTACTGGGGACAAGATAAGGGACTAGAGAGCTGAAGATTTAACTTACATTACAGATCTGACAGTTGTAACTGCAGCAGAAAGCGTATTTCTATATATTTTATAACACTCACCTGCAATGCCTAGTATGCTAAGACATTTACCTTGTTTTTATTTTTAAAAAAGTGTTAATAAGTCATTCTTTAAATCCTCTAGAGTAATTTCAAGGATTATCTTTAAGGGTAACCCAAATAAATGTTGATGAACAGACATTAGGTATCTATCAGGATAAGAAAGTTTAAAGTAATGTCAAAAACACAAGGACAAGGAATCTTCTCAATTTCCCTTATGCAGTCAACTATTCAGAATTCATGGAAAAAAGCAAACACAGACGGCTTACAGATTACTGTGACAATGACAGATGATAACTACAGTTACTTCTTTCAGAGGTTACACAGATGAAAGCAAGATCCTCCATAATGAAAAAAAAAAGAAGAGGAGGTTAATCACAGCAAAAAAAGGCAAGAGCAAAGAAATTTGGTAGCACAAAACCCATTCCTAAATAATTAAACTGATTTAGGCCACTCCTGCTGATGGAACTATTTTCTCAAGTTTTCATAGCAAAATCATTCTACTAGTAAATAGTAGAACATAATGCTTATTGAAAACCAGTGGAAGTTACCAGCTTTACATCCTCAGCTGTATGACACGAAGAAATAAAAACTAGAAACAAGTCCAAAAAGCTAAATCAAGATCTTCTCATTAACTCTCTAATTCCACATAGTGTATCTTTTTATTGCAAAAGGCTATGCGCACACAATTCTAAAGCAGGTAATGCAGTTAACAGCTTGGTCTGGCTCTAGAATCTGAATACACAGAGATATGAAATGCAGTGTCAATAACCACATTAGCCAACAGTACTTTACTCCTATTACGGATGTAGCAAACGTATTATTCAACCTAACAATATCATAAAAACAGATTTCAGTTTGGGAATTTGTGGCCTGTGGCAGCAGAACTCCCAGATTTAAATTGCCAGGCTTCACAAAGAAAGGCAAGATGCACCCCTCTCCACCACTTCATATGTAAACACAGCAACAGCAAACTTGAATAAAAACTCTAAGGATCTGACCACAAATAAATGCAAGTTTTCAGCCAGCACCTGCTGCCCCACCAGCCAGTCCTCGTCTCTCCCAAGGAAAAGCTGGCAGGCCAGATAGATTAATTTTGAGGACCAGATGCAGCCTGTCAGCTATCAAACAAGCAACCCTGACTTACAATAATAAGCTGTGTTTCTTTAATCAGCTCCATTTGCATCTGAGTCAGGTGTTATTCATTTGCAAGCTCTTCCCAGCTGTATTTACACGGGCACACACTGAGTATTGTTAATTCCACATTCTCTGGACCTTCTTAGCCAATTTCTAAGTCCCAAGACAAGTTTGCCCCAACTTCACATGAACTTTCCGACAGTCTATTAGTCAGCTTTACATAACAGCACATAAATAGTAGTAAATAATCATAATGAATTGTACACTTAGCAAACAATTAATCAGTTATAAAATCTAGCTTTACATTCAAATAACTATTTGTCACAGATATCCAAGAATTCATTCTGTCTGAAGTGAAAATTGCATTTGATAAAAGTAGCCGACAAAGATAAAATTATTATAGGAATGGATTACAATCAGGTAAGCACTACATATAAAGCCTCAAATTATCCTTTTTATATATATGTATGTACATATAT